CCCAGAGGACATTTTCTGCCACTGCCCCCAGGCTATGGAATGGCCTGCTGGACAAGATCCATCTTATTACCACGCTCACTGCCTTTAAAAAAGCAGTGAAGATGGATCTCTTCCGGCAGGCCTTCCCAGAATAATATCCTCCCGGAACATATCTGCCCTGGGAGACGAGTTTGTCTGTTATTTAACTAGCTCACCGTGTGTGATTACTCAATGTTGAATTTTATTGTTTTATTATTTTAATTGTCCAATTGCTTTTAATCTTTTTCTTGTTTAATTTTGTTTTAAGGGGTTGGGAGGTTGGGACTTGGGGATTGGGGCTGTTTTTACATTGTCTTGTTTTAATGCTGTAACCCGCCTCGATTGTTGGGCAGAGAGGCAGGCTATAAATAAAACCTATTATTATTATTATTATTATTATTATTATTATTATTATATAATGACAATATAAAAATGAAAGGGAAATGCACTTGCGTTCTACATAATCATGTTCCTGAATTGTAATTACATTATAATTGAACATTTCACGCATGTGTTGTTTTCCTGCTACTGCACATGTTGGAAAGACATGGTTCTTTCCCAAACAATATAAAATATTTTTTTTTGTATTTAAGAAATGTGATTTCATTTAGTTGAAACAAAATTGTGCTCTGCACCTCACATGGACAGAAATTTCCTCTAAAAACCATCCCAGCAATAAGAATGACTTGTCAGTACCGCAAAGCAGTCTGGGGAAAGGTCCTGGATAGCTCCATTATAGTGCAAATAAATCATTGACTTCTGCACATTTGCAATAGTGCAAATAAAGCACTCTTGAGAAACCATTCACGGGATTTCCCTGTGAATGAGACGTTCCAGGATGAGTACAGGTTACTAACGACCAAAGTACTGGATGAGCATGATGTCATACAAAAATCTTTCATGCAATCATGACGAGAGCATTCACATTTCATCTCATTTTCATCCTGTTTTAAATCCCCATATGATAATCTTCTGAATCTACTGTGACTATGGACAGGATTACAATATTAAGAATGTATGATGTTATAGTCAAAATCTGCAAGACCATTCAGGATATTTTCCAATGTAATTGGTAATAAATACTATAACAGATATATAAGGGAAATCTCTCTACCATCAAAGTTGGATTAGTGGTAAGTACAAAGAGAGATGGGAAATATCTTAAGTTTTGATCTCACAATTGTTTTATTTTATTTAAATCAAAGTTCTAAATCATTCCAAAGCAAACTGAAACTAAATTTGACTGCATTTGCATAGGTCAAATTCAATAAGCAGATCTATTCTCAGCATGGAGAGGACTATGTTGTACCAGCCTATAATAAAGGAGCTCACAAAATAGATATGGCAAGTGGCAGCTCTAAATTAGCACTACATGGCAGAATAAACATGTTTTAATATGAAGGGTTCAATTCTAGATTTTTAACAGTTGTACAATCAAACCCCAAAGCCAGACTGTATTGACACATATGTCAGTTTAAGTTTCTCTGACATTAAGAAAAGCTATATCTTTGGACATTAGTATTTGTTCAATTTAAAAAGGCAGCTAAGTATAGCAAATGATCTTAAAGTATTTATTTCTGCATATATGCAAAGCTAGGCCTTTGAACAATGGGGTAAATGTTGCTCTCCTGCTACATATGGGGAAACATTTTTGTACCTCATACTGAAGCTGGCACCATTGCCCCCCCCCAAAAAAAAATATTTGGCTAAAAAAATTGTGATAATAATCAAATAGCCCTTACCTATAGCTCAAAGTATGGTAATGGCAAACCCCATGTCAATAAAACCCCATGGAAGGTTCTCCTTAGGGCCACCATAAATCAAGATAGCATACCCTACAGTATGTCACAGATGAAAAAAAAGATGTGTGGCTTTGAGCCATTGAGGTGTAGTGGTTTGAGTGTTGGACTGTGAATCTGGTGATCAGAGTTCAAATCCCTGCTCAGGCATGGAAACCCAATGGATGACCTTGGGCAAGTCACACACTCTCAACCTCAGAGGATG